TCCATCGCAAGGCGTGGTAACCCAAACTGCGAGAACTCCCTCGGCCCTTTAATCGCAAGGTGTGGTAACCAAGCCCTTAAACCATACACGTCTTACCAATCGCCAGGTGTGGTAACCCCTCTTGTGATCAGTTGGTTTTGCTGATTGCGACTCGGCTTCGCATGAAGTTTCGATACTGCTTCACGACAGCGCCAAGGCCTCATGACTTAGCTCTTCCATGGCCCATTCTCCGAGAGAGGGGGCCGGCGGCAGGGGGCGAAGCCCTTACGGATAATATTAGTCGTAGTAGTAGTAGTAGTAGTAGTAGTAGTAGTAGTAGTAGTAGTAGTAGTAGTAGTAGTAGTAGTGGTTATTGTTGTTTTTGTTGTTGCTGTTGTTGTTGTTATTGCCCTTCTTGTTTTGTCGTTGTTGTTGTCGTGGTTGTTGTTGTCAGTGTCGTTGTCGTCGTATTGTCGTGATGTCAATTACCAAACGAATATTATGGCTGGGCGCTTTAAATGCGCCCTGGCGCTCTCGCCGAGGCGCGGGTTACATTTTCATTGAAAATGAGGCTCACGCTCGAGCGGTTTGGGGGGCCGCCACAACCGGCCCCCCAACAACAACAACGCTCCCGCTCGAGACTTCCTCCTTTTTTACTCAGGGCTGTTGTTTTTGATCGTCGCCGAAAGCCGCCGTCCTAACAAAACCAGCGCTCCCGTTCGAGAATTTTTCCCGTTTTACCTTGGACTGGCGCGCTAGTCTTTCTCTCATCGGCGCGACCCCCTGCAAAAACAACGCTCCCGCTCGAGGCTTCCTCCCTTTTATACTCAAGGCGGTGTTCCTTCTCGCCGCCGGAAACCGCCGCCCCGACAAAACCAGCGCTCCCGCCCGAGACCTCCTTCCGTTTTACGCTGGACTGGCGCCCAGCTCTCTTTTGAATTGGCGCCGCTCCCAGCAAGAACAACGCTCCCGCTCGAGGCTTCCTCGCTTTTTCCTGAAAACGGTGCTGTTCCTCGCAGCCGACAACCCCCGTCCCGACAAAACCACGGCTCCCGCTCGATGCTTCCTCCCTTCTTACTCAAGGCGGTGTTCCTCCTCGCCGCCGAAAGCCGCCGCCCCGACAAAACCAGCGCTCCCACCCGAGACTTCCTTTCGTTTTACGCTGGTCTGGCTTCATACTCTCTTTTGAATTGGCGCCGCTCCCAGCAAGAACAACGCTCCCGCTCGAGATTCTTTTTTGTTTTTTTCCTCGGGACGGTGCTGTTCCTCGCCGCCGACAGCCCCCGTCCCGACAAAACCACGGCTCCCGCTCGATGCTATCTCCTTTGTTACTCAAGGTGGTGTTCCTCCTCGCCGCCGAAAGCCGCCGTCCCAACAAGCCCAACGCTCCCGCTCGAGACTTCGTTTTGCTTTACGCTGGACTAGCGCCCTATTCTCTTCAGCGTTGGCGCCGCTCCCAACAACAACAGCAGCCCTGCTCGAGACTTCCTCCCTTTCTATTGAGGGTCAGGTCCTTGCCTCACCGCCGACAGCCCCCATCCCCACCAAGGCAATCCTGTCGTTCGATACTTCCTTGTGCTTTACCCTTCGCTGGGGTTCCACTGGCGGTCTCGCATCGGCGCAGCAAGGCGCGGGCATGTGTTTCCGAGGCGGGATATGTTGAAATTCCTCTGAGGGGGGTGTTTGCAAGACCTCATTGGGCGGGAGATCTGGGAATGGGAATAAGGGGCCCCGCTATAGAACAAGAGTCCCCCATTACTTGGATGTATATCATGATGGTCGCATGCTTCGTGTGGGAATATCGCGCATGAGGCTAAACTGATTGTTGTTGTTGTTGTTGTTGCTGCTGTTGTTGTTGTTGCTGCTGTTGCTCTTCTTGTTGTTGTTGTTGTTGTTGTTGTTGTTGTTGTTGTTGTTGTTGTTGTTTTCGTTGTTTTCGTTGTTTTCGTTGTTGTTGTTGCCGTTGTTTGCTGGTCTGCAATTCTGGCGATTTTCGTCGATTTCGGCAGCAAGGGGCTCGTGATAGGGCCACCGAGCCATCAACATTCCCGTTTCCACCAGGGCCCCGATCGGACAGCAAGAACAAGTATTAAGAACAGAGGGTTTCGGAGATCCGTACGGGTTTCTTTGTTCGGCGCTCGACCCGCTTCTTTGGCGCGCGAAGCGCGCCAGGAGTGGCGCCTGAGGCGCCGCAGGCGAGGTTTCATCGCCGACCCAAGAAACCCGCGCAGATCCAAGGAACTGTATGCTTATTCACACATTTGCTCTCCTATCTTTCGTTTTTTTGTGTTCCTGTTTCCTTGCCAATCCTCCCGCCTGCTCCAAGGAAGGGATCCGTGCAAGCGATTCTCATTTTCAGTCAGTCTTTGTTTCGAGTCAGGCTCCGTCGCCAGGGACGGACGAGATGTCCGTGGAGGCGGCGTCTGCGGTCAAGCGGAGCCCAAGCAGCATAGTGGTGCCAAACTCCTCGTCGGCCTTTCTCGGAGCCGCACGCGCTCGGCGAGCGGGAGGGTCTTCGCAGGCAAAGGCGGACAAGGAGCTGAAGGAGATGGCCAAAAAGTTCAAGCTGGACGACCAGGTGGCGACTTCTCCATGCTGATGGTGGTGATGATGATGTTGATGGTTTTGATTTTGTTTATGATGATGCTGCTGCTGATGATGCTGCTGCTGATGATGATGATCATGCATATTATGATGATGATGGCGATGTCGATGGTGATGGTGATTGTGACTATGATGATGATGATGATGATGATGATGATGATGATGATGATGATGATGATGATGATGATGATGATGATGATGATGATGATGATGATGATGATGATGATGATGATGATGATGATGATGATGATGATGATGATGATGATGATGATGATGATGATGATGATGATGATGATGATGATGATGATGATGATGATGATGATGATGATGATGATGATGATGATGATGATGATGATTATGATGATGATGATGATGATGACGAGGATGCTGGTTAAGATGATGATGCTGAAAATTCTAGACGCTTCGCGTATCCCCACCAGCCCGTCCAGAAACGACGCCCAGGCGAGTAGAGGGTCGTCCTGAGGGGCTTTTCGGCGTCTTGGGTGCCTCGGGGGGGCCTCTGTGGGCCGTTCGGGATCCTCTTTGGGGCCTCCTGGGGGCCTCTTGGGGCCTCTTGGGGCCATCTTGGGGCCTTTGGGTGCCTCCTGGGCGCTTCTTGGGGCCATCTTTGCCCCCTCAGGAGGCCAAAATGGGGCCCACATCTTAGTAAAATCAATGATTTTGGCTTCCTCGCCGAGGCCGTTTTGGACGCTCTGACCGCTCGCGGCCCCCCCCGTCCAGGTCCACGGGGAGGGGGTATGGTGGAGGGGTAAACCCCTCCCCGAAGGGAAAGAGGGAGGGGTGGAAGAGGAAACGCCTTAAACCACCGACGCCCAGAGGGCTGGTGGGATTGCCTCGATCAGGGAAGTGGACAGCACACGGAGAAAGCCAGTATGAGACATCTTGGGATTTCTTGAGCCATCTTGGAGGTCATTTTGGGCTCTCCGAGGCGCTCTTGGAGTCATCTTAATCAGTGCCCCCCCCCCCCCAAGAGGCCAACATGTGGCTAAAACCTTAGTGCAAACAATGGTTTGACGTTATCGCCGAGGCCTCTGGGAGCACCTTGGGTGCCTCTGGGGGGTCTCTTGGGGCCTCTTGGGGGTCTCTTGGGGGCCTCCTAGGGGCCTCTTGGGGGGCCTCTTGGGGCCATCTTGGGGCCATCCTGCGGCCTCTTGGGGCATCCTGGGGGCCTCTTGCGGCCATCGTGGAGGAAACCGATCAAAGAAGAGGGGAGCTTTAATTAGCGCTGCCCCCTCAGAAGGCCAAAATTGGGGCCAAAACCATAGTAAAAACAATAATTGTGGCTTCCTCGCCGAGGCCGTTTTGGACGCTCTGGCCGCTCGCGGCCCCCCCCGTCCAGGTCAGTGGGGAGGGGGTAGGGGGAGGGGTAAACCCCTCCCCGAAGGGGAAGAGGGAGGGGTGGAAGAGGAAACGCCCTAAACCACCGACGCCCAGAGGGCTGGTGGGATTATGATGGTCGTGGTGCTGGTGAGGATGCTGCTGCTGCTGATGCTATTGATGTTGATACTGATTTTTTGTTGTTGCTGCTGCGGCTGCTGGTTGTGTTGAACATTATTTCTTCTTAAGAATAATTATTGTTGGGACCCCTGGTGCACGCCCCCCCCGCCGCGCCTAGGCCGCAGCTACATTTTCATCATTTTCGTGAGGAAGCCTCAGGTAAAACGATGTGATCCAGATCCGGTTGTTTTGTTGTAATCCGTTTTCCCTTGCAAAAAACACTATAAAATGACATTTCTTGTTCTAATATAATCAAATTTCAAGAATCCCTTGCAAAAAATAAGGTAAAGTGGACATTCGCGCGCGCAAGACGAAATCCTTCCAAAACCTTAGTGTTCGCAGCGATTTTAACATAAAAACATCAAAAAACCAATGGTTTTTCAACAAAAAAATGTCAAAATCTCATCCCGCGCGCTCTTGCGGATTCGTAGGAAACCCAACACTTTTTAAACATTTCTGTCAAACGGGCTTTTGCGAGCAACTTTTTCGAACTTCTGCAACAACGGTTGCGCACCTGCCAGGGCCATCATCCCTGTCAAATAATACCATGCGGGACACATTCGTTTTTTCTTCGCGCGCGCACGCCGTCGTCGTCGGCCGCGGGGCCCTGAATAGTAGCCACGGTCGTCCGCATGCCACGAAGTGAAGTGTCCGAACGTCATAGGGCGGGAAGCTGGGTGTGGGTGGTGGCGAAGAGTCGTTTGGAAATTTGGTAGAGCTTGAACCGGCCCCCCCACAAAGTGGGGGTATTGCCCGCCTCCTATGAAAACCCTGGCACTGGTGAGAACGGAGTGTCCCCAGTCTTAAGTGATTGTTGTTGTTGTTTGTTGTTGTTGTTGTTGTTGCTGTTGCTGTTGCTGTTGCTGTTGCTGTTGCTGGTGCTGCTGTTGCGGTTGCTGCTGCTGCTGTTGCTGTTGCTGTTGCTGTTGCTGTTGTTGTTGTTGAACATTATTACTTCTAAAGAATAATTATTGTTGGGGCCCCTGGTGCACGACCCCCCCGCCGCGCCTAGGCCGCAGCCTCATTTTCATCATTTTCGTGAGGAAGTCTCAGGCAAAACGGGTTGGTCCGGATCCGGTTGTGTTGTTACGATCGGTTTTCCCTTGCAAAAAATAAGCTAAAGTGGACATTTCTTGTTCTAACATAACCAAACTTCAAGAATCCCTTGCAAAAAATAAGGTAAAGTGGACATTCGCGCGCGCAAGACGAAATCCTTCCAAAACCTTAGTTTTCGTAGCGATTTTAACATAAAAACATCAAAAAACCAATGGTTTTTCAAAAAAAAATGTCAAAATTTCATCCCGCGCGCTCTTGCGGATTCGTAGGAAACCCAACACTTTTTAAACATTTCTGTCAAACGGGCTTTTGCGAGCAACTTTTTCGAACTTCTGCAACAACGGTTGCGCACCTGCCAGGGCCATCATCCCTGTCAAATAATACCATGCGGGACACATTCGTTTTTTCTTCGCGCGCGCACGCCGTCGTCGTCGGCCGCGGGGCCCTGAATAGTAGCCACGGTCGTCCGCATGCCACGAAGTGAAGTGTCCGAACGTCATAGGGCGGGAAGCTGGGTGTGGGTGGTGGCGAAGAGTCGTTTGGAAATTTGGTAGAGCTTGAACCGGCCCCCCCACAAAGTGGGGGTATTGCCCGCCTCCTATGAAAACCCTGGCACTGGTGAGAACGGTGTGTCCCCACGTGCTAGTAATTGTTGTTGTTGTTGTTGTTGTTGTTGTTGTTGTTGTTGTTGTTGTTGTTGCTGGTGCTGTTGTTGTTGCTGTTGCGGTTGCTGCTGCTGCTGTTGCTGTTGCTGTTGCTGTTGCTGTTGCTGTTGTTGTTGTTGTTGTTGTTGGTGTTGTTGTTGTTGTTGTTGTTGTTGTTGTTGTTGTTGTTGTTGTTGTTGTTGTTGTTGTTAAGAACGTTGTCACGGGCAACGAGCAACGGAGGGCCCTGGGGGGCCCCGCAGGGGCCCTCCGTTGCTCGCTGTCCGTAACAATTTCCAGGGCTCCGCAAAATCCCCCAGGACTCTTGAAGATTCTTTAGGGTTCCTCTGGGATCCTCAGGGCCCCCCAGATTTCCAAAGGATACATCAGGGTTCCTCAGGCATCCCTAGGTTTTCCAGGATTCCCAGGGATTCATCAGGGACCCTTCAGGATGCTCAGGGACCGTGAGGGGTTCTCAGGATTCCTCAGGACAGGATTCCTAAGGGCGCCTCACTGTCGCGTTACATCGTTGTAGCATACTGTCGCGCTACATCAGCTCATGACTCTCCAGTAGCAGCGCGCTGGACCAACTCCTCAGCGCCGTGAACACTACAGCGCTGCAGCGCTGTTGCGCTGCAGAGTTGAAGCGTTGCCGCGCTGAAGGGAGCCTCATGATTCCTCAGTTCCCCAGGACTCCCCAGGATCAGGGATCCTCAGGATTCCTCGCCCCCCTCGAAGGATTTGTCAAGGTTCCTCGGGTTTCCCGGGGATTCCTCGGGAATCTGCAATATTATCAGGATTCCTCAGTGTTCCTCAGGGTTTCTCAGAAATCTTCGGACTTCGCTAGGATGCCTGAGGGCTCCTCAGGGTTCCCCAGGGGTCCTCAGAATTCCTCTGGGTATCTCGAGCATTCTCAAGACTCCTCAGGTTTCCTTGGGGTCCGTCGGGAGTCCTCAGGGTTCCTTAGGGACCCTCAGGACTCCTCAGGCTGCATCAGGATCCCTTCGGGTTCCGCAGGAATCCTGTAGATGTTCCAGTGGACTCCTCGAGGCTCCGCATGACTCCTCAGGTTTCCTGAGGAATCTTGAGGGGCCCTCTGGGCCCTTCAGGATTACTTGAAAAGGCTGAAGAAGTGAGACTCATAAGACCGTGCAGCACGCTTGGATCTGGAAGGGATGACATGGTCCGTCTTGGGCCCTTTTGGCCGTCTGGAGGGTCTGAAGTGGCCGTCTTGGGCCATTGAAGGGGTTTTGTGAAGCCATAGTGGGTCCGTCGTAGCCTTTCTCGCGCGTGCGCGCCGCCCCCATTGAAATGAGGACGATGATGAGAAGGTGAAGGACATTAGGAGGAGATGAAGAGAAGCAGGAGGAGGGGGAGGAGGAGGAGGAGGAGGTGAACATGATGAGGATGAGGATGATGATGGGTGAGGGGGATGGGGATGGATAGTGATGATGGTAGTGATACGGATGATGGTAGTGAACATGGTGGCAAGTATTACGATGATGATGATGATGATGCTGCTGCTGATGATGATTATGTTGATGATGGCGATGATTCTGACGATGATTGTTATACTGATGATGACGGCGATTGTGATTATGACGATGACGATTGTGATGATGATCATGATGATGCTGCTAATAATGATTATTCTGATGCTGGTGGTGATGATGGTGCTTGTGATGGTGATGGTGATGCTGTTTGTTATACTCATGATGATGTGGCGATGATGATGATGCTGATCACGATGATTATG